CATTACTACACAGTACTGTAGACTTTATAAACACTGTATACTTACTTAGATTACACTAAATATATAAAAAAAAAATTTCCAGTGACTTGTACCTGTAGTTCTAGCACTTTGGGAGGCCGAGGTGGGAACATTGCTTGATTTTTCATTAGGGTATTGGGCCTCATAACTGCTTTACATGCATGTCTCAGTCCATTTTTATTTCTACAAAATTTTTACTTCTATAACACTCAGGAGTTCAAGACTGCAATAAGCTATGATCCCACAACTGTACTCTAGCCTGGGCATCACAGTGAGACTCTGTCTCTTAAAAAAAAAAATTAAAATTAAAACATAAAGAATGTTATTTTTTCAATAATAAACTCACCCTAGCTTACTGTAAGTTTTTTTCACCTTATAAACTTTTTTACTCTTTTGTAATAATACTGAGCTTAAAACCAAATATGCTGTACAGCTGTACAAAAATATTTTCTTTATAGCCTTCCTGTATATTTTTAGTATTAATTTTTAAAATTTACTTGTAAAACTTCTTAGTTAAAAACTAAGCCACAAATGAACACATTAGTCTAGACCTACACAGGGTCAGGATAATCAATATTACTATCTTCTCCCTCCGCATCTTATCCTACTGGAAGGTCTTCAGGGGTAATAATGTATATAGAACTGTCATCTCCTATGATAACAATGCCTTCTTCTAGATGACCTCCTGAAGGACCCGCCTGAGGCTGTTTTACAGTAACTTTAAAAAAAATAAGTAAAAGGAGCACACTCTAAAATAATGATAAAATACAATAAATTCATAAAAAAGAAACAGTTATTTATCACCAAATATTAAGTATTGTACTGACTGGGAGTGCAGGTTAGTCTTCCACACACCTAGGCTAAATGGTATATAGCCTAAATATACCATTTATATATGGTATATAGGCTAAATGTGATGAACAGCAGCTTCATCACAAACATGTGACTATTACGTTGCCTGTGACATTACAATGGTTAAGATGTCACAAGGTGATAGGAATTTTTCAGCCCCATTATAATTTCATGGGGCTACCACTGTAATTTCATGGGTCTATCATTGACTGAAATGTTAAGGTGCATGAGTGGAGTCCACCTATCTTTCACCAGTTGTTTTCCCTTTAAGACCTGCAACACACACTTCTATTGTACCTTTTTATTGTCCCCTTCTCACTGGATTTAGAGTGCAGAATTAGAAAACTTTTTCATAGTCCTGCAACAATCTTCCATCTAATATCTCACAAATTTCTCATTTCCTTTCCCCTCTCAGTAAGCATTTTGGAGAATCTGACTATAAAGACTCTGTAGGTTGGCCAATTACTGATATGAAGGTGTAGGAGGACAAATACTTTCTCTTACCTTAATGAATGCCAGATAACTTCAGCAATTGGTTCCTTTTATCCCATCTTTTCTTATAAATGGAAACTCCACAAGAGCAATGGCTGTTTTATATAACCTGTCAAGGTGTAGCAAATATTGCGAGTGTTTAATAAATAATAAATGGGAATGAAATCCCCAAATAATAAAACAGACTATAACCTTATCAATTGCTGCTAGTGATGCAGAGGCTGCACTTAAAACTACCAAAGGAAAAGACCAAAGGAAACGAAAAAAAGACAACCTTAGCCATAATGCCCAGAAATGTAAGTTATATTTTGGTAAATATTTTCCAGCAAAAGAATAGCACTATGTACTCACTGAGTATTTACAATGTGCCCAAAATTGTGCTAACTGCTTTACATGCAAGTCTCAGTCCATTTTAATTTCTGCAAAGAATACCTGAGGCTGGGTAATTTATAAAGAAAAGAGGCTTATTTTGCTTATGGTTTTGTAGGCTGTACAAGAGCATGGCACTATCAGTTGCTGGTGAGGGCTTCAGGCTGGATCCTCTTATGGCCAAAGGCAAAGGGGAGATGGTGTGTAATCACACAGCAAGAGAGGAAGTCAGAGGTAAGAGGAAGGTACAAGGCTTTTTTTTAACAACCAGCTCTCTGGGAACTGATACAGCAAAAACAATGGTTTCTATGGGGATGGCACCAAGCCATTTATGAAAGATTCTCTCTCATGACCCCGACATCTTTTTATTAGGTCCCACCTCTAACACTGGAGGTTAAATTTCAGTATGAGATTTGCAGGGGTCAAATAAATCATCTCCAAAATATAGCAGTGCATTATCTCATTTCATTCTTACTACTTTCAGTTCCTAAAAATTTATCTTCTATTTGATTCACAGCAACCTGAGAAAGTAACAATAAGATCCACATCTTAAAATGAAACAAATGAGAATTCAGTAGATTAAATAGGATGCCCAAGTTTGTATATTCGGCTATTATATGCAGGCCAGAATTCAAACCCTCAGTTTTCGGAGTCACCAGCCAATAACGTTATTCACAATGCTATACAGTCTTCTCAACTTAGCACCTATACGACTTGAATAATAATACTTTTTCTTGTAAAATTATGAGGAATCATATCATTTGATGGTTTAATAATACAAACCCTCACCTGTGCAAGGCAGGCAAGTGTTATTGGTCAAAGCATAAAGATGGGGTTTAATGAACAGCAGTTATTCAGGAATCAGAAAAGAAGCATGTCCTCTTGTTTGATTTCAGCTTTGTATTTAACTTTTGAGCAATGATATATTTAATAGGACAACTTCTAATGGTAGAAAACTTGTTCAGTATTTAAAGTAACATTACTAAAAAGATAATATTTTGCTTTGCATATTAAAATATTAATTTCTTTTAACTTTGTTGACTAATAATTTGGTCAGATTATGAGAGAAGGAAGTGAAGTGGTCAAAAAGTCAGTGAAAAATTTTATGATAGACATTATAAACTATGACCATTGTATATTGCACAATTCTGCATTTTAAATTTTTTCTTCAAAACTTCATGCTGTAACTAGACTTAAGAAAATAATTTATATGTAAAGTTTCTCTTAGCATTCACACAGATCATCCTGTGTTACCAAACATTACTTGGAGATAGTAGCTATAAGCAGATAAAATTTGAGAAAATAATATAAAAATAGTTGTGTTTGTTATACAACCCAGCCTCTTTAGAATATAGTGTTAATTTTTACAAACCATGCTTCAATCAACATCAAACATATGGTATTGTGGTTATGAGAAAAATATATCTTTGATCAGGGTTTCAAATTTGTATATATCAAGCACCTCACAAAATTCTCTGTTTAAATGCTTATCCCTTTCTGTTATAGGATGCTGCTACACAAAAAATATCAATTAGAATACTAAGCAATTATGAAAACCAAATAGAAAAATAGTTGCAGTAAAATTAATAGTATGGAATTTTAACCAGAAGCAATTCTTAGTGTTTATTTATTAAAAAGATTTAACATGAAAGGCTTAGTTTATCATGGTATGTGCCAAAATTACCTAATATTTCTTTTGCCAGAGATAATTAATGTCACCTCAAAATCACATAGCAATGTGAACAGAGAAGGAGAAGGGATGGTATATAAAATGAGGAAGAGTAGTGAGAAAGGTTTTTTTTTTTTAAATTCTTCCTAAATAGCTTCTAATATATGCTTGAATGAATATATACATATATTTTTCTCCTTTTTTAAGCCATTAAATCTCATTAAGAACTGTCTCATAGTTTTTGAATAAGAGATTTCAAATGAAAGTAATATTATTTTTTAAAAGTCTGCAGTATAGACTCATTATCTCTGCTTATTTGAAAACAAAAATTAGAAACAAAAATTTAAAAAACCTCTGATATGTAATACTCTGCAAAGACTAAAGAAAATATAATTTTCAAATATTTGCAAGTGAATTTTAAGAAATACTAGTTCATTTCAAAAACCTAATTAGGCATACTATATTCTCTTATAAACTACTGGTTATAGCACAACAAATAGTTCACTATAAATGAATTTAAACACAAATCATATATCATATACTACATGAAATAGAAAAGACATATAGATATGATTAGTGTCTTTCAAGAACACCCTAGATATCTAAAAGAACATAGCAACTAATACACCATTTTAAAAATAAATAAATAAAAATAGGGATATTATCTAAAAATTGTAGTTATTAAATTTTATTTCTGAAGTAATAAGCTAAAAACTGTTAAGAACTGATGTACTACACAATGACATTGATACTATGTTAAAATGATTCACAGAAGGCAGTCAAGACAGAGATTCAGAAATATTTTATTAGAAAAGTAATGCACATTCTTTGTAACATCAGCTTTTATTTCTGTGTACTATATGAACTTCCCAAAATCATTCTCCAAACTCAATCATTTAAAACTCATTCATGTATTTTATGATGCATCCTACAACAAAGACTAAAAAGCAGGCAATAATAACTATAAAACACAGCCTAATTACAGCAAAGTTAATCTATTTTTACACAAAAACATTTTGAAACCAATTTTGTGTTTATTGAAGAATTTTTCTCATGCATATTATCCAAGAGTTTTTTCTGTCAGGGTATTAGTTTCTTAGGATTGCTATAACAAATTACCACAAACTGGGTACCTTAAAACTGCAGAAATACATTCTCTCACTGTTCTGGAGGCTAGAAGTATGAAATCATGTTAGCAGGGTTGGCAACTGCTGGAACTCTGAGGGAGATTCTATTCTATGCTTTTTCCTATCTTCTGATGGTAGCCACGATGTATATGACTCCAATCCCTGCCTCTACCTCTATGTGGCATCCTCCTGTGTCTCTATCTTCATTCTCTGTCTCTCTCTCTCTCTCTTTTTTTTTTTGTTTCTTTGGTTTGAGACAGTCTCATTCTGTTGCTCAGACTGGAGTGTAGTGGAGCGATCTCGGCTCACTGCAACCTCCACCTCCCGGGTTCCAGTCTCCTGGGTAGCTGAGATTACAGGCACACAGCCACCATGCCTGGTATTTCTGCATTTTTAGTAGAGATGGGTTTTCAACATGCTGGCAAGACTGGTCTTGAATTCCTGGGCCTCAAGTGACTCACCCAGCTTGGCCTCCCAAAGTACTGGGATTACAGGCGTTAGCCACCATGCCCGCCCTATCTTCTCTTATGAGGAACACCAGTCATATTGGATTAAGGGTCTGCCCTGCTCCAGCATAATCTCATCTTAGCTACTTAACCGCAATCACAGTATTTCCAAATAAGGTCACATTCTGAGGCTCTAGGAAGTACATGAATTTTGGGGGAACACTGTTCAACCCAGTGCATTCAGTTTCTATTTAACATAAAAAATAAGTCCTATACTATACAGGATGAAAAAATGACTTATGAAATAGGTGAATGATTGTTGAATATATAAATGTGATCTTTCATTTTCCAATCACATACAGGAATAAGAATTTTTTGGGAATATGTTTCATTAACAAATATGTGTTACATCCAAAAAAATTTATACATTGTTCAAGTAGGATTCAGGGAATTAACCTAGGTGCATTCTCTTGTTTCTATTTCAAGCATATTGTTCTCCAGATTTTTTTTTTTTCTAATTCTGATTTCCTTGTGAGGATTATTCAGATTTAAATAAAGCCTTTAAAATAGAAGTAGTAAACAAGCTTGGTTACTAAAGTTAAATATTACAAGGTAGATAAAATAAGACTGAGGTAAATTCATGTATTTAATTCTTATCTATTTTGTCCATACAGTTATGCTGATATTTCATTCACTTGGATTCACCAACTTAAAATTTGTAATCATAATGGAGAATCTTTTCCCTGTATTTGAAAAAAGTTTACTGAGCAAATTAATAGTATAAATATGATTTCAAGGTTAACTATTTAAGATAATATTTATTTATATGTACTGTTAATCAACATGTCCCCTTCTTTACCCCATGTACCCTTTGACAAATTATCTCCAACTCATCTTTCAGGTCACAAGTCAAGTATCATGTTCTCATACCTGGTTTCTGACAACAGATAAAATACTTACTAAATGGTCTTACAGTACCATTTATGATTTGTTTGTAGTATTTACCACAGTGTCCATTTTATATTGACTTTTGTGATTATAACTAACAATTTTCCTCTACTAAACTCTATAGGACATGTACTGTGGGCCATGTATATTGTACTTACCTTTGCTTTTCTAAACAAGTTCAGTAGTTGCTGAATAACTGAATAAATTAGAAAGACATATTACATATAAGAAGTGGACATGTGAATTATGAATCAATCTCATCAATTTGTTAAAGACTCTTCTACCAAATACTCTTTTCCTGAATAAGCTTTTACACTTATTATAGTTACCATATCTTTGTAAACAACATTAAGGGAACACTGATTTTACTATATTAAATAGTTTTCTATTTCAAATAGACTTGGCTGAATTACTTTGATTAGCTCAAATGAAAAATACAAGATTCTAATAAGAGACTTTATTACTTACTAAAGGCACTGTGAGCTATTATTAAAATACAATTGACATGAAATATAAATTTTGTGAAACAATTCTCTGTAAGGATTTTACATTTTTATTTTGGAGTATATGAACAAAATGGCCCATATCATACTGAAAAATCCCTTTAAAATAATAGACTATAATTTGAAAAATGAAATTTTAGCAGTATTACACATAAACTAATATTTAAAAATTTTAAATCTGTAAAAAGCCTACATTTGAGAAAGTTATAATAATTATTCACAAGTAGGGACATTAAAAGTCCATTCCATAATCATCATTATTTGAGCCAGAGAAAGACTGTTGCAAATTGGAATATCTAAATTCAAAATTTAGGACATGTAGGTATGATTATCTATCTTTGACAGCTTGCGTTTACATATTTAGATAAACACAACATAGTATTATTTTTAAAAAAATTTCCTGGCCAGAGGAAGTGTCCAATATGATGCAAAGATTAACAGGTTTCCAGTTTTGAGATGCTGCTGCTCCCTGAGTAGAACTTTCTCTGTCATGCTAATATTTCCTACAGTTTCTTTTTGAGGGAAAAAAAAACGCTAAATGCTATCAGTTTTCAGACTGCCTCACACTTAAACCTTTATCAAGACATTTAGGAACATAACATGAGTAAAGATTAAAGAAATTATGAGATAAAAAATTCAGTAAGATGATGGTAACTTATAATTTGATAGCTGCTCTAAGCTTGGCTGAGCGCCCTCTGGGGTTATCTTGTACATCCTGAGATTGTGGACTAAGTACCTTCTTGTGTATCAATTCCCACATTAAAGGAGCTCTTCTCATAGAGACTTCTATGTTTTCGTGATCTGAACCTAATTGCGATGCTTTCATCACTTGCTGTCTAACACTTAGGTTAAACCTTTCTGTCATGCTTATTCCAAGCAAAAATCTTTTGACGATGCGATCCTCTAGTGAATGGAAGGAGAGGGCAACAAGACGACCACCAGGTCTCAGAAACTTCTGAGCTGTCTTCAGTCCTGTGTGGAGTTCATTGAGCTCATTGTTTACAAATATGCGAAGAGCCTGGAAAGTCTTGGTAGCAATATGAGTCGATCGCTGTAGCAAGTCTTTTCGTGCATAAATGGCAGAGGGAGAAAATGCACCTGGGAATGGATTTTGTAAAGACAGAAAAAAAAGACCGGTAACATTAATATTTTTCACTGTAAATCTAAAGAGTTGTATGGTTGTATGTATATTTAGTGAACTAAGTTTTCTTAGAAATTTGTGGTGGCATTTCATTCATACTTCACCCTCTCATTTCCAAGCATTCTTCTAAGGTTTAAAACTATGTGGCAAAAAATCCTTGTGTAACTCATAAGGATAACTGAAGTTGAACAATGAGCACAGAAGGAGAAATGGTGGAAACATATTTAAAGAAATAATAAGAAAATCCTTCTCAAATTTGGTGAAAAACATTAACTCATAGATGCTCAATGAACCACAAATACAGTAAACAAAAAAGCCTGCACATAGGCACATCATAAAACTACTATAACCAAAGATAACAATAACAAAAAAACATGCCAACAGAAAAGAAAATTCATTACATAGAGAAGAACAAAAACATTATTAACAGCTAATTTTTTATGAGCACAATGGAGGCCAGAAGATAGTGGAATAATATAAACAGTGTTGAGAAGAGAACTCCGTTTACTAAGAAGGCTAAGTGTAATAAGATATTTATCCAAAAATAAAGGTTCAAAGACATTTTAAAGAAAAAAATAGTGAGATAATCCACTGCTAACAGGTCTGCACTCAAGAAATTGAAAGAAAATACTTCATGCCGAAATAAAATGATGCCAGGTGATCATTTGGATAGACAGATGGGAATGAAGTCATAAGGTCATAGCTATAAAACATTTTTGAAATAAATTAAAGACTTATATAAATGGAAAACTACTGTATGTTCAACGATTAGAAGATGGCAATACTACCCAAACTGACCTAAGATTCAATGTAATCCCTATCAGAATTCCAGCTGACTTCTTTGTACAAATTAACAAGCTGATTTTAAAATTCATATAGAATTGCAAGGCACCCAAAACAGCCCAAATAATCTTGAAAAAAAATAATAAAGTAGCAGGACTTATATTTATGAATTTCAAAGCTTATTACAAAGAAATGATAAGACAGTGTGGTACTGGCGTAGCAAAAGGCAGAGAACAAAAGAATGTAATTGAGAGTCAAGAAATAAAACCATACATAAACAGTCAACTAACTTTTGACAAGAGTGCCAAGATTGTTCAATTGGGAAACGTCTTTTGAACAAATGATGCTGAGACATAAAAGAATGTAATTAGACTCTTACATCACATACAAAAACAAACTCAAAATGGATCAAAGACCTAACTGTAAAAATACAAACTATAAAACTCTTAGAATAAAATATAAGGTTAAATCTTCCTGACTTTGAATTTTGCAAAAGATTCTTAGATATGACATCAAAATTGTAAACAACAAAAGAAAAAAAATAGATAAATTGGACTTCATCAAAATTAAAAACCTTTCTCATTCAAAGAAAGCCAACAAGAAATCAAAGACAACTCAGAGAATGGGAAAAAATTTGCAAATCATATGTCTAGTAAGGAACATGTATCTGGCATATATAAAGTAAGTAAACTGCAGAATACATGTATATTATTTACATCATATTTTAAAACGTGCATATCAAAACATATAGTCCCATCTACTTTAATAACTGAGATAAGCAAAAATTTCTAATTTTTAAATAAACCAATAATTTTCCTTAAGTTTATAATCACTTGCATACAAAGATATTAAAGTGTAATGTCCAATGGATTTATACAATTTTTTTTAAATTTAGAGTCATGTACCTGAAGAGTATTATCCCATAGAGAAGTAGTGTTTCTAGTACATATTTGTTCTTAATGAAGATCTCAGAAAATAACTGCAATCTTGGCATTTGGATCTCCTAACTATGTTTCTTAAAGAAAAGTTAATTATACAAGGCTGGCACCTTAGTTCACATTTTAGTAATCTAAACACCTAGTAGTAAAGTTCAGACACAGCAGATTAATATTCTTTGGGAACTAGATCAGAAGAGAAGAGAAATAGTATCTTACATATATCAGAGAACTGAGAACCTGGTGGTTTAAAGTAAACCAAATCAGTGTGATGGTTCTCTCTTTCCTCTACAAAAATTACTTTGCCAAAAGTCTAAAGAATGGTAGACACCAGGGGTTTTATCTTCCAACAACCAGGTCTCTCAGAAACATGATGTCAATATAAAAACTGAAGAGGAAGGTCAGCTTCTTACCATTTGCTATTTAATTCCTTCATTTTCCAGATAAAGAGTTTGGGTCACTGGGAAATGTGTTTCAGAGTATTCTAAGAATCTGAACAAACATGCAGCTATTTATATTTTGGAGCCTGGATTTAGAGGAAGCGTCAGAAAGGTTGCATTCTTGAAGACCTTGCATGATTCAAATTTTGCATAATTCAAAACGAATTTTCTCAAAGAAGAAATGTAATATAAAATACATTTTAATGTACATATATTTTCATATAAAATAGGAAGTAAACATTCATGGAGCACACAGATCAATAAGTACTGTAGGATATTCCTGCTTTTATGGTTTTAAAAAATTTTTTTCTTAGCATTATCTCTAATATTTTGCAGAAATTAAAAGCATGGTTCAACATGCTAAGTGCTTAACTTTCTTGACATTTTAATGTAGAACTTCTTAATTCATAAAATAATAGGCAGAAAGCTTAATAAATGTTTGCATAATATTGTCAATGAATGTGTTTTTTAAAATTAATGAAAATGTAATATTTCATAACAAAAAATAATGAAATAATGTCTGAAATCACAGAAGTTCTAATATAAACAACAGCACTGGTTAATTTGACATTAAAGTTTGTTAGACATTTTGGCTTACTAGCTAAAATAGCACCTTCCTATGGCAGAAGGATGGACATAATTTATAATTCATTTAGTTAGCTAGCTGTGAAACTATGAGATTCCTAATTCCTTTCATTTGACAAAATCAATTTTCATTTCAAAGCATTCACCCAAAGTGAGATTTTATTAGTATTCTGTATTATAGAATTTCAAGTTTATGTAAATCATATTCACATTAAGTATATCCCCCAGTATATATGAATCTGCAGTGACAAATTACAACCACTGCAATCAGACAAGGTTTTCTTTGTAAGATCAATTTGGCCTTGCCAATGTCACAAAGTTATGGAGAATGGACATTAAGAGTTTTCAGCTATATATGGGAGTAGATGGTCTTAAAGACAAAAGGGGAACTTAATCTATGAAGCTTTCCTTCTGGGGCCTTTTTACACTTGTTTGGAGAATTCTGATGTGTATTACGTCTGATGAATTTCCTAGAAGAGATTTCTAGATGTGGTCCTGTCAACCTCGTTAAGTCCCATCGTTAGAGACCAAGAGATGACAAGAAGTCTGTAATGAGCAATGTGTTTTGTGGAGCTTTCTGGTACTTTTCTGGGGAAATCAAAGGCATATATCTTTCCTTACTTTAGATAGGTTAAACTTCCAGGGCTATCTTTCTTTCATACTGGTACCTCATGCCTGTAATTTTTTCAAAGCAGATTGTGTAAAATGAAATTAAAAAGAAACAAAAGAATATAAAATAGCATGTGATGCTGGACACAAAGGCTCATGCTTGTAGTCACAGCACTTTGGGAGGCTGAGGCAGGCAGATCTCTTGAGCCCTGGAGTTTAAGACCAACTCGAGCAACATGGGAAACCCTGTCTCTACAAAGCAAGCAAGAAAAAAAAAACTATAAAATTAAGCCAGGCACTGTAGCGCATGCTTGTAGTCCCAGCTACTCCAGAGGTTGAGGCGGGAGGATCATCTGAGTCTGTGGAGGTCAAGACTGCAGTGAGCCATGATTGCACCACTGCACTCCAGCCGGAGAAACAGGGAGAGACTCCATCTCAAACAATAATAATAATAATAATAAAATAGAATGGCATACAATAATGGAAATTAAAGTGATAAGAACAAAACATCAACTGGCAATGGGACACATGGATAAGAAAAAAATCAACCACGAAGGATTAGGAAAGATCTTTGAATTATTAAGTTTAAAGACAATAAATGTTCTGTGCCTATGAGGAAGCAAAAATAGGTTTTCTAGTGACAGTCACTGGTCAGAGAGCAAGGAACAGAGTTATCTTAGGTACGCACAAACTAGGTAAGAACAGCTGGCTCCTAATTTCATCAGGAAAACAAGATTTGAAAAACTAACAGATTCAATGCCTACTCATATGCTGTACTCTGAATTATGCCACAGGGAGAAAAATATTAATATGACAGAAAAAGGGTCCCTGACCTTGAGGAGCTCACTGTTTTGCAATTCTTCTTCACCTCCTTTACATCTCCCATATACTGTTATTAGAAATAGAAACTGGTCTTTCTGTTTTTTCATCTCCTGAGTTTCACCAGAGTCTAGTATGGCTAATTAATTTGAGTAAGGAATAGAGTAGGTAAGATGAAAAATCACAATTTGTGTCATTAGGTTTGATGATGAGAGAAAAATCTCCTTTTTGTGTGTTATAGTCCATCAAAGGAACTAGTTAACATAGTACCAATGTATATGGGAACAGATGTGCTTACCCTTAGTATAGCACTTATACTCTTCTGTAATTACTAGTTTACTTGTCTGTCTCACTCACTTGACTCTGATCTCCTCGTGAACAGGAACTATTTCGTGTTCCCTCTTATATCCCTAGTACTTGACGGAGAAGCTTGTGATTCTTAATTCTGACTGTACATCACAGTCACCTGTGCTGCTTTTGACAAAAATGCCTGGTTCCACTTCAGACCTACTGAATCAGTTTCAGGGGTTTATTACTCAGGAATCACTAGTTTTAAAAAGCTTCACAGAAGATTCTGACATGCAGCCAAGATTAAAAACTACTTTTGAAAACACTCAATAAATGTTTCTTGAAAAGATACTGAATAGATAATAAGTGAAAAAATAAATAAGTGAATGAATGGATAAAAATCCAGGGTCATTGGCACAGTTTCATTCACATCATTGGGTGTGTAAGGGCTGTGTGCCAATTCTGTATATCAAATCTATGTGCCCAAAACTTATGTAT